GATAATCAAGTAGATTAACACCAAAATAACTGGGACACAGACAAGTAAAGATACGTTCAAACAAAGAAAGCGATGACAACTCAATCATTCACATCATTTCTAATACACAATTTCGACCATCTTAATCCTCGATATCTCATGTCATAATATCACGTTCCACGCCTTTAGTACACATGGCACCTTGTACCCACATATCTCTATCTTACTTTGATCAACATCATCCTCATGCCACTCAGTACATAGGGTCCATAACCAATGCAATAAAGATGTTCAAGGAGTCTCATTTACATAACAATAAGTAGATTACGACTTCTAAACCAATTAGGAAATCAACATGAAAAGAGGAAGTTATTTTTAGAAATTATTTGAATAAGAAAATACCCTTTTTAAATAAAATATAACATCGAATGAACTATTATATTTAATATAGGATTTTAAATGAAATTAAAACTTAGTAGAAATTATCTTTTAAGTAAGATTCAACATCATTGGGTTAAGAAAAATTTAATTGAGAAACTAGTTAATAGACAATAACATTTATAGAAATTGTGAATTTTGAAAGGTGTGTACATATACACGGTGGGTTCAAATTTGAAAGCCATTTATAGCAATGTAGTACTAACTACTTTATTTTAAATTACGATATAACTAATGACTTAACAGGACCGGAGGAAATGATTCAACGTAGTAAATTTACTTTAAATACTAATTCACCGGATAGTAGTTTCAGAGAAAGAATTCAAGGAACAACGGCAAGTCAATAACTCAATGCCAATAACCGACCCTCAAAACTCAGTGAAACACGAAATACAAATCATCAAAGTTTTAAACAAATGGATCAGGGTCTTCTCAGTATTCAGCTATAACCAAATCCTAAATGAAATGTAAAATCACCGAATAACTTGTACAGTCAAGAGGAATACATGAACACATATATCTATTAATGCGGCGCGCATCCCGATCCCACCAATCCTCCCTTATTCCTCCTTAACAATTACAATAAAAGTAAATATTATATATTTGTTGCGGCGTGCAATCGGATCCCACCAATCTTCCCTTATTCCTCCTTAACAATTACAATAAGAGTAAATAGTTATATACCACCATATCAGTAACAACATGATCATTCACCCTTATTACCCTTTGTTGCAGCGTGCAACCCGATCCCACCAGTCCACCCTTATTACTCCTCAATATATATATATATCACCCTTATTCCTCCTGTTGCGGCGTGCAACCCGATCCCACCTGTCCACCCTTATTACTCCTTGTTGCGGCGTGCAACCCGATTCCACCGGACAACATCAATTCTTTCTTATTCCTCCTCAACATATTAATAACCTAGCATAGTTTAAAATCAACAACAGCAACAACAAATCAACAACCCAATCACAAGGATTTTCTACCACCAAGAGTATGAGTACACGGCAACACGAGAACCACAGAAAAACCAAGAAGCACAACAACCTTTACAAAAATAACTAGACATATAAAGCATGTGATAACTACATCGACAACCACAATAATTTGGAAACATAGCATATAGGCACGGGGTCAAAGAGAGATTTCCAATTAAGAATAACAAAATGATAAGGAGGACAATCACTCCAATTAAGGCAATTAAGGGCCAAGTAACAAGTAAGAAATAGAAGAAAGTTAACAACATTGTATGGAGCATATAGAGGTAAAACAAGCAATTAGAAAACACAATCATATCGAAAAACTTCCCACTTAATGAAAATAAGGACCTAAGAACCCTAAAGGTAAATTTCCTATAAATAAGTCCGAGCACACACTCGCCACCTCGCGTGCATGGAATACAAATAGTATAGAAGACTCAATTCCTAAGGGGGATTCCCCCACACAAGGTTAGGCAAGATACTTACCTCAATCCGGCCAGTTCAATACTCAATTTAGCTTTTTCTTTACCAATTCACTAACGCTCGGCTCAATCTAGCCAAAAATGACTTGAATAATCAAACAATGCAAGAGAAAACAATTTCAATTAACAAAACTATGATTCTTACACAATTTGTAAAAAGTCAACAAAAGTTAACTCCCTGGGCCCGCACCTCGGAACCTGACAAAATTTACAAAAACCGAACACCCATTCCGCTACGAGTTCACCCATACAAGATTTATCAAATTCCGATACCATTTGGTCCTTCATATCATCATTTTATAGTTTTGAAAGATTCTACAATTTTTCCCAATTTTTCCTTTAGATTCTCATGAATTTGATGTTAAATCTAAGATATAATCACAAAAATATAGTTGGAAATTGATTAGAGACACTTATCCAATGATTTGGTATGAAATTCTTCTCTCAAGATCGCCTCACCTCGGAGTTATGGTTCAAAAATATGAAAAAAAATTGACTGAAAACTCTGAATACCCAGCTTTTAGCAGGCTGCATCGCATTTGCGACACTAGGTTCGCAAATGCGAACTCGCAAAAGCGAAGAAAGCTTCGCAAATGCGAAGCCTGGAAGGGTACTGTCTTCATTGCAACTGCGACAGGGAGTTCGCAAATGCGAACTCTGAGGGATACGCAAATGCGGGATTTCCTTCGCAAATGCGACCAAGTCCCTAGCAGCCCAGATTCGCAAATGTGAGGCTGCTTCGCAATTGTGATAGTCGCATTTGCGACACAAACATCGCAAGTTCGATGACACCAGAACTAGCAATCAAAGACTATGCAAAAATCATTCCGAAACCAATCCGGAACTCACCCGAGCCCTCGGGGCTCCAAACCAAATACGCATACAAGTCTAAAAACACCTCACGAACTTGCTCGCGCGCTCAAATCATCAAGATAACTTCTAAAACCACGAATCGGATGCCAAAACGCATGAAAATCACCATGAACTTCAAGAACTTCTAGAATTGCAGCCAAGCGTCCGTACCTTATCAAATCAACTCCAAACGACACCAAATTTTGCAGACAAGTCCAAATGACATAACGCAGCTGTTCCAACTTTCAAAATCGCATTCCAACCTCAATAACAGAAAATTCAACTATGGGTCAAACCTCTCCATTTTCCAAACTTCTACTTTTGCAGAAATGCCTCAAATTACCCTACGGGCCTCCAAATCCAAATCCGAACGCACGCCTAAGTCCAAAATCACCATACAAAGCTACTAAGATCATCCAAAAACTCATTCCAGAGTCGTTTACTCACAAGTCAAATTCAGGTCGAATTCTTACCGCTTAAGCTTCCAAAACTAGATTCCTTCTTCCAATTCGACTCTGATTCATCCGAAAACAGATTCCAACCATGCATGCAAGTCGATACACATAATATAAAGCTACTCGTGACCTCAAACTGCCGGACCAGATGCAATTGCTCAAAACGACCGATCGGATTGTTACAAGATCAAGTAAAACAGCACAAGTAACAAATGAACCAAGTAAAGTAATAGAAATAATAGTAAATAGAAAACTTAAAGATGGAGAGAAAGAAAGGGAGTCGTTTCATTATTGTTCTGCTGTCCAGTCCAAGATGCAAGGACCCAAAGTCAAGACCTAAAGGTTGTCACAATATGCTCTGCTCTAAGGCAACACATAGAAAGTTTTTTATCCTTTGATTTCTAAATTTCAGTTTCCAACATCATATAAGTTTGCCAAAAAGTAAGTCGACCGAGTTAATCATATTTTGAATTAAATCATCAGAAAAGAATGATCGTGCATCTATAAAGTGCCGAGTTTAATTTCTTGAAAACTTGAAAGTGCTTAGATAACAGTCTGAGTTATAAGGATCCATCCATGAGAATGTTTATCATTTTTTTTCAATAGTGAGTTGATTAACAACGTAATCCCTGTCATGACTCTCTTACTCTCACTCTGCATAATAGACTCTTATTACACCAAACTTCATGTGTATGTGTTATTTTGAATTTTTGATGGAGCCTCAAGAATGGGAATTCGCTTCTGAGAGAAATGCACATCTTTTTTAGAGAATAAATTAAAGGCCTCACTTTATTTTAGAAAATCTACTTATTTATCACCTTTATTAGTCAGTACAGCTAAAAATCCTACTCTTTTTAGGATACACAACCTATTGTGGCTAAGAGATATGGAACTAATTTTTTGAGTTTCTTGTTTCTTAAGTGATTGAAGAGACAAATGATGTTATACCGGTTCAGATGACAAACATTTTACTTTGAACATGCTATTGTAAAAAAGTTACTATTGTTAATGAGATTTCAAAGTTGGCTATAGCTTGAATAATCTGTAATCTGTGTTGAAAACCCCGAAAAAGGGCTAGATAGAGATAAATCAGAAAAGAATATAGGACAAAAAAGGAAACAAAATTAGCAACTTCAATTGCAAGGATAATAATATGGCCAAGTGCGTTTCACATATGATTGCTTATAGACAAGTTAAGATAATCTAAACATCAAAGAAAACAGAGAAGGAGGGAGTTTGCAACTAATCCTGATGTGCTAAGACTTGAGGCAAAAAACTTTGCTTCTGAAGAGCACACAAATTTATCAGGGACCTAATACAGCTTGTAGAATTGCATCAACAAGAATAACTACATATTGATTTAGACACTCACACAATATATTTTGTTTCATTTCAATTTGACTTTTAATGCAACTTAAAAATTAACCAATTGTGTTATTAGTTCTGCAACATTTTGAATCAGGTTGTATTGATTTTGTTCAGATTTGATTTACGGTATGTGAAGATTTGATTTAGATTTGATTTACGGTATGTGAAGATTTGATTTACGGTAGGTCCTTGGGCCCGGGCTCAGCCGGGCCATCTCTAACCATTTATAATTTAGAAATGGAAGTTGGGTGGGATGACCTCACGAACATAGATATACCTGAAATTATGCTTTTAGTTAGGGCCAAAGTAGTAATTTCATCATTTAATAGAAACATGTGTATTCACTAAGGTGACACACGTGTACTCCATCTGTATTCATATCCATGTAGAACGCTTATTTTTTTCTCTTTCATTTAATTGGTGCTCTTTCCGAGTTTCTCGCATTTCTCCTAATCTGGGCTTCACTCTTTCAGTCAAGCTCTTCATTTGGTGATTTTTTTCTGCAAATTGCAATCTCTCTCTTTTTCTTCACTCTTTCGATGTTTGTCCATCTTTGTTCTATATATCATCTGGTTGGACCTCTCTGTTTTGGAAATCTTTTTTTTATTTTATTGCAGTTCCTTTATTGGTAATTTGGACGATTTGGTGGACATATAATAGTTTCTATTCTTATGAAGAAATTTATAGCAAGAAATTGTTCATGCATGTGACTAATTGTACCTAATTTCATTTACCTTATATTTTTATTAAAGGATCTGGTAATTTGACCTAGGGATTGAACAGGTTGATAAAGGTTCAATTCATGATGGAACTGGTCTGGTTACTTTCTCTTTGAAGAATCAACGTGTTTTTATTTCGACCTTTCAAAGGTGAGATTTTGGGAGCAGTATTTATCATGGTCAACAAGTAACAACTATAACTTTCATCGATTGTTCCTCATCAATCCTTCCTCTCCATTCAAACTCTCTATATTGAATCTTTTTTTACTCTTTTTCAGTTATCCGTGTTCTTGCCCAGTTATTATTTTATGCGCAAATTTTGTGCATAATTTCCAAACAAGGGAGTGGAGTGGGAGAGTTTGGAAGAGAAGAGCATATGACGTTTTTTGCGGCAGTATAAAAAGTAACAACTATTCATTGCATTTTGTTGAAAATTCATTTGTTTCTCCCATTACTCTACATCTTTCTTGATTGTGTTTTATCTGTTTCTTTTAATTTTCTTCTCTTCATTATTTCTTATTAGGGGCCTTTCAGGCTCAAGAAGATTTGTGGCTTAAAGCCAATTTTTAATTAGGGGCCTTTCAGAAAGAAAAAAACAATTCATGTGCCGGAAAATGAATGCAATTTTAACAACAGCCAGCAACTTACGGACAAAGCATTTACTACTACTACTAAGTTTGAAGATTTCCTTCACTCCTCAGATGCATTGCTGTCCATTGGCTGGAGAGAGCAAAGCTGTCGACAACAGCACATTGTGACTTATTTCTTTGCTCTCTCTCTCTCTCTCTCCAAACGAAGAAATGTCATCTTATGAACTGCTTCCCTCTGCAACACATAGTGGAGTAATTAATTTCAAATAAATGATTCTTTGTTTCTCTCTCCAATATTCAATGCAATTCACCAGTTCGACATGGTTAGCTTAGCGTTCCTTGTGACGGAAAATAATGTGTTTAATATACGTGTGTCCTCCATTGAAATCGTTCCTATGGAGTTTGGTTTCAAAAATCAAATAATGCTCCACCCGTTTTTATAAGGGGAAGCTGCTGTACTAAATTCTCATTAGGGACACATTGGATTTACCGCACACACTCTTACTTTGCAAAAGATTATTTCACGATTCGAACCTGCGACATTTTGATCAGATACACGGCAGCTATTTTTACTGTTAGACCAATTTTAGGCCATTTTCTCTTAACGGGTAACATGCTAGGAGGCAGAGGTGGAGCTACTTATTCTCTAATCCATATTTTATTTTTCTTTTCAAGATTTTCATTCAAACTAATAATGAGATTTCGAGTATCTATCTCCTTATCCATACCTTATTTCCTTTTTTTCTTATAATCTCATGCAAGATTATCCGGGTGAACCAAGTAATTTCAACACCCGGTTCACCGCACATAATTTCATAAACTTCTTTCTTATAAAATTCCTTTGAATATAAAGTTCTTCCATTAAAATCTACGAATTTATTGATTCAGATGGGTCGGGTTGGGTCGACTCTCATAATTGGGTTAATATTTGTTGGATGAAAAAAAAAAATATGAAGTAAAATAATATTGTATCGGAAAGTCGGGTTTTCAGAGTACTCCTGTGATTTTTGGGTCAGAAAATATAATTATATGACTTTTGTGAAAAGGAAATTATAATTATGTAACCATCGGTGAAATTTACCCAATTTTAAACTACTGTAAATGCAACGGTGAGTGTATGCATTTGGAATGTCTAGAGCCCGTTTGGATTGGCTTGTTTTAAGTGCTTTTAAGTCAAAATAACTTTCAAGTCATTTTGTAGTGTTTGAATAAAGTAAAAAAGTGCTTTTAAGCACTTGTTTTTAAGCTAAAATAGCAAAAACAAGCCAAAAGCAAAAAGTTAGAATTCCTATGTTATGGCTTAAAAGCTATTTTTCGAGTTCATTTTTCGAGCTCTTCTCTAGCATCGGTAGTCTGGTGTAACTTTAGCTTCCAGTTGACTGAGGGTCCGTAGGCCGGTGGCTTAGTAAATGATCAATTGAGTAGCACTATTCATTCTTTTGACCCATCCAATCTAAAAAGGAAAATTAATTAATAATATGCCGATACTAGAAAGGAAGGAAAAAAAACAAATACAGTACTTGAAGTTCCTCCAAAGACCCAATGGATACAAGAGATCGAGAGTTATAAAGAGGCATTGAATTCCATTTAATGTTTTCTTCCCTTCTCCACCAACCGATATCTGCCTATAAAAAGAGACTCAAAGAGACACTAATTCATCACTCAGGTGTAAAGGTAGGAGAAAGATAGAAGAAAAAAAAAAGAGCAAGTGATGGCCAAGTTGTCCATAGTTATCCTTTGTCTTGCTTTGGTAGTGGTTCAAACCACAGCAGCAAGAGAAATGCCAAGTGACAAAGGTCTTGCTGATCAAAAGAATGTCTTTGGAGGCACTGGTAGTTTTGGAGGCATTGGAAACAATGGCCTGCCTTTTGCCGGAGTTGTTAGCGGAGTAGGTGGCGACGTTGCTGGAATTGGTGGCGGAGTTGGTGCTGGAGCTGGAATTGGTGGAGGACTTGGGGGTGGTTCATTAGGTGGAATAGGGAATGTTGGAGGTCTTGGTGGTGTAGGTGGGTTGGGGGGTCTAGGTGGTGGTTTTGGTGGAGGTGCTGGTGGTGGTGCTGGTGGTGCAGGGAATCTTCCACTTCCTTGAAGATTTAGCAGTTTCATATAATTACTTCATTACTATCTTTATGATTTCAAGTTTGTTTCATGCATGTAGCAAAGTTTGCTAGCTAGTGTGAGAAAAGAGTGATTTTTTTTCCTTTTTTTCTGTTTTGTTTTTGTTGTTCATGCATGTTTGGTTTCATTCATAGTTCAATGATGTGTACGCTAGCTTTTGTACTTTTTGTTTTAAACGTTCAAATCTTTTTGGCTCGCTCTTAGTTTCTTTCGTTTAATAGCTTATCTTGATATAATTAAGTACTCTAGCAAGCTTGGAATTTTAATGCAAAGAATGCCAAAGAGTGAAGAGTGTACTAGTGGGCTTTCTATGTCGTCAACAACCAATGAACCGAGAAAATCCAAGATATGTAGAGGATACTACTAACATAGTATTAATTATAAGTTAAACTACAAGGATAAGGCAAAATATCCATCTAACTTAAGGAGTTCCTTTTCTTGTTAAAATTCACAACTAATGGCAAAAGCTGAATTTTTATTAAGGAAGTTCAAAAAATAAAATAAATAAATATATGAAGAAGCTAAGGGGATTCACAGGGGCGGCTCAACACTATTTGTGGCCTAAAGCCAACATTTGAAGAGAGGCCTTAAACCCCCTTTAAGACAGAAAAATTCATATATATATATATATATATATATATATATATATATATATGTGTGTGTGTGTGTGTGTGTATCTAAAGTCTAGTTTTCTAATATTTTGATATGCAAAATTAATATTCATTTTGTTTAATAGATTTTTCCTAATAATCCTTTTTGGAACTATATCATATAGTTTTAATTCTTTTTTTTTTTTTTAGTTGTGAGCAATCAGATTCATATTTTCTAGTTGATATATTTAAATTTTAACAAATTATTAAAAAGATAATTTATAAGTATGAAGTAAAAATCTCATAAATAACAAATCTTAGATAAAAAAAACACTTGAAAGTTTAGAATAAGAGAATTCTGATTTAAGGAAATCAATGATTGATTCCAAATATCTTTTGATTGCTCAATAACTCCTCTTTGAAACTTGAGGAAAAAATATAAACGACTATTTTAGTTTAAGCGTTTGATGGACGGGTATTTAGATTTATTGTTCAAAAAACAATTNAAAAAAAAAACTCATTAGCCTATTGTTGGTAAAAAAAAAAAAAAAAAAAAAAAAAAAATTGGGGCCCCCCAAAGTTGGGGACCTAAAGCATATGCTTTAGTTGCTTAGCCCTAGAGCCCGCTTTGGGAATTCACCATCTAATATATATAAATGAAAAAATATTTTATTTGATATACACGTATGGTATAATTTTCTGACAAAAGAGCTTCGTCTGAAGCCCTTTCGCCCACCAAACTCCGTCCCTAATTACAACAAGAGGAGTATACAGTATGAAAGGCTCGTTTTAGTTAATTAATTAGGAAATGTCATATTATTGAATTATCTTGACCTTATACGTCGATCCCATTCTTTACCATCTTGATGTCGTCCAAACTTCCTCATATAAGATTTAAAAATCAGTTATTTTAATATCATGGGTTGGAAGGGGAGGTAGGACATAAATTAAATGGTAACAACTAACAAGTTAGTAAATGTTAATCCGAAAAGATGATGAAGCTTTGGTCTGTCTGTGGTATGGCATGATTTCTTTTCATCCTAGAAAATATTATCCTGAATAAAACCATTCTCCATTGCGTGATTTCAATGAATTATTGAAATCTTTTCTCAAATAAAAATATTTTTCACTAGAAAGAGGAACATGGCTTCCGTTGCCTATGGGTATAATACATCTACATTTTTCTTACACACGTCTCAAATCCTTATCTATCTCACTTGAATGAAGCCACACTTAAATATAATATTCATCCTTTTAGTATATATATATATATATATATATATATATATATATATATATATATATACTACTCTCATACCCTACCATGATCCACCTCCTATTATTATTGCCATATATGTCATCTACTTTTATATATATATGAATCTGAAAGTATAAGAGGGGGGGGGGGG